CCCCGGGGACAGCCAGGACGTGGGGGAACTCCAAAGGGAATGTGGACACCCTGCTCCAACTGAGGCTTCTGCAGAGGAACCAACCCCCCCAGCCCTCCCAGGCCTTGTCAGTCCATCACAGCACCCAACAGGTTCCCAACGTTCCCAGAAATCCCAAACAAAGCACAACTACTGATGCTCCTCAATAACTCAAGACATGTCTGAATGTGCCGAATCCTCCTGTCTCCAAAAGTTTATACTTAGAAACACAGAGTTTAAGGGGTCAAGACATGCAATTTAGTGCTGAATTTTTAAGTTTTCTTTTAAATATAGATAATTTGATGCTTTATTCCCGAAATGAAGGTTTGTCTTCTCCCATTTTTAAACCCACAGGCAGGAGCAAGGCTGGAATGAATCACAGCAACTTCCCTGTGCTGTTCTGAAATCTCAGAGCAGCTGTCCTGGAACTGGGGGCACTGCTGGAGAAGGGAAGATGGGAATGTAAAGTAATACCAGTCTCCTATTGAAAGGGTACCATATATGAGAGATAAGAGAAAACTTTCACTGCCTAGCAGACTACAAACATATTAGATACTCTCCAGACAGAATCTGCCCTTGGCATCCCAAATGCAGCTTCTGAACGAGGGTTGTATAAAACCTTCCTGTAAATCAATGTGATTTGGGGAAATGAAAGTAAATTCCAGTTTTAAGACTTTGCTCCAGATGATCTTGTTTGAACTCCTCCTTCCTCGCTTGTCTCTCCCCAGTCATTGGTTAGAAAATGAAAGTTTTTCATTAAATTTACTGGAAATAGAGCTTAGATAAGAATAGTTTCACAGTATCCTTGCTACAAATGTACAACTTACACGCCCTTCTATAAGTTACATTCCAATTCATACACAATCATTTCTCTCACAAAGCTCTTTTCTCTTTAGAAACAAGCTTTTAAACTTATTCCAAGCACACAAGCCTAATAAATTCTTGTACCTTAAAAAACCAGACAATCAGGGCATCATTTGGCCATGATTTCCATTTGTGATGACATCCAGATGGCAATCCAAGGCCCACCTTTGGTAAACAGGATGCATATTTATGGGACTCTCAAGTACAGCTAATTATTTGGAACTACATGAGAATGTCTAAGAAAGTATTAACAAAAAAAACCTGCACTATTTCTACTATCCCAGAATTCAACCTGCTGATTTCATCCTTACATTCCCCTTCCTCCAGCAGCAATGTGACACTGTTTCAGCAATAATTACACTTAGAGACAGAAGAAAAACCAATGTGACTTTTAGGGTGGCAGCTTTCATTTAGAATCTGGGAAGCAGAAGCCTGAAGTTGCCCTTTGCATTCACACTGATACAAACCAAGGCACAAAAAATTCTTTATAACAGATAATAATTGATTCAGAATTCAGTCTCATGCTGTCTCTGGGCCAGTACTGGTCACTAAGAGTTTCCCTACAGTTCATGTTCTCCCTCAAAGCTTTAAGAACTATGGGGACACCAAAACTGCGACAGCAGCAGAACCATTTAATGTAACAAAGTTTTACAAGAGTTATTAGTGATGGTTTGAGACTTCAAAATTGGACTATAATAAATAATCCCCGTGGCACAGGTGACCCTGATGCAGGTGCTTTGCCTGCACCACAATGGAGAAGCATTTTAAGAGTTGACACAACTGTGCTTCAGAGGTCACTTGCTTTCGTGACAACCCACTCCAGCTGCACTGTGCAGCACATGCTTTTGGAAAAATGGAATTACAGCCTTTTTTCCCCCCCTCTTGACAGGCTGAGCAGCACAGGCAGCCCTGAGTGCAGCCCCAGCACAGCCTGTGCCAGGGCTGGCAGGGTGAGCAGTGAACACAGTGACCAGCACAGTGAGGCACCAGCACGGGCAGGAACAAGCACGGCAGAAGGAAAGCACTGCTCTCCTCTCCCCCCAAAAAAGGCTTTTTTAGAGGTATTATTCACAAGCATACAGCAGGGCAAGCTTTTATCCTGGGTAACATCAGTATCTTTATTCTTCCAAACCAGACTTTTGATCTGCCACATAATCCAGGAGAGAAATGAGATTTTAGCCCTGTCTGATCCCACTCTGGAGCCCAGGCAGCACCCTGCAGCAGGTTATATCCTGATAAAACCACAGGATATCTTTATGTATGACTACCTTTTGTTTTGGTTTTTTTATGACCATCCTTTCTTTAAAAAAAAATAAAAAATACTTCAGTCAGTGTAAAGTTCCTTTTTTAAGAAAGGCTGAGTCTGAAGCCAGAGACACCAAGTCTTCCTTCTAGAAGGAAACATTAATCTTTGATATTACTGCTCACTGCTACAAATTATTACTGTCATATGCAGAGGAAGAAATGCCCTGATGAGACAAAAAAATATCTACAAAAAAATATCTACACTACTCCTCTAAAGGACACATGAATTCAACTGTAAAGTAAAAACCAAGCTGTTCTTTTTTTTCCTTAGAAGGAGAATTAATGAAAGACTTTGTGTTAATGCATTTGATTGAACAAAGTTCCCTACAAGCTTGGCAGGCAGAATAAAGCACATTAACTACGACCTGGGAGAAGCAGATGAGAAATGCTTAACTAGAAAATGCAATTTCAGAAAATGCAAAAGCAACAAAATAAAAAATCAGGTAATTTTTCAGCTGGTTGTTGGTCATGCACCAGCAGCTGGGAGCTCTTTACCATTAGTTATGATGGCAAAAGCAACAGCTTGGCTCTGATAAAAATCTGTGATGTTCCCCAAGTTCATCAAGTTGTTTTCCTTTTTTCTACCCTCTTCAACAGCTATTTATCCTACTAAATTTCTTTCTAAATCTCAAATGCACTCACCACCTCGGGAACAACATGCAACGTTTCAATATGTACAAATATCTTTGTAAGAGCTGCCTCTTCCCCCCGGGCTCCTGAGCTGCTGTGCCCGGGAGAAGGAAGAGGGAAAGGATTTATTCCAGCTCAGAAAAGCTATGGCTGAGCCAGGCAGGAGTCAGCCAGCACCTGGGGGATGTGAAGGAGTTGGAATGCAGACCCCAAAAGCAAAACTGTGCAAGGGAGAGGTGGCACCTGGAGGAAGTGCCACCCTAAATCCCCCCTGAAGGAGGTTCTGGACCTTGTGTCAGGGACCACTTGGGAACAGGTCACCCCAAGGGCAAGGAGAACAGTTCAGGCTGGACTTTGGGTCTGCCCCAGACCTGGGCAGCTGCTGGTTCTTAAATGCCATCTCCACTTCCCAAATTTAGTCCAGCCTACCTCTTATGGGATCTCGGTCTCACCTACAGCCCAGGGGATTTATTCAGAAATAAACAACAGGGACACTTTTACAGCAATCAAAGCCTTGAGCAATTGGGCAAAACCAGCCCATTTTTAATACCTGTGAAATGGTCACCTTTTCTGAGCAGGGCTCATTAAATCAGTGGCAGGAACAAGGTTATTTGCTAATTGGTAAATATCTTATTTGTCCAAGGACAAGGCCCAAGATGCATTAAAAATTCAAAAGGATATTTGTTTTACTGAATACAGAAAAATTATGAGCTTTATTTAGTACCTCCATGTTCTGAACTACTAAATTATAATACATCTCTCAAATAATGTCTTGCTAGTCATTCCTAAGGTATTAAACTGTCACTTCATTCCTCTGGAAAACGTGTTCCTAAAGGACACACTTGTTCACAGAACTTGGCAGTTCTTACTTCTATTTTCTCCTCAATGTGTAAGACAACAATGTGCAACACAGGCCAAAATAAAGTTTACTATGAAAGAATTTATTCATCTGTTTAGGTCACCAATAAATTAAAATTCCACAACCCTCTGGAGGAGCTTCTCTCTAGAAAGCTTCTTAAACTGCTATTTAATCTCAAATATTACCTCGTACTGACTCCTAATTTTCCACATGCACCAAGTTAACTCACAATATCCTTCTCCTGCCACCACTCTTGCATCATATAATTAGAATTATTTATTTTTAAATTAATTACTTTTTAATCCTGCTCCTTCATTTAATCCCTTATTTTCCAAAAAACCCTCAAGCTTGGGGTTAAGAAACTTCCATATCCAAGGATCCAGCTGAAGCTACAAAACCAGGGATAGCAGTAGAAACCATTCTGGAATCCTCACTGCATCTACTGCTATCAATCTGCAGAGGAAAAATATACTTCTTACAAGAAAATTGCTGTGAATTGCAAATATTAGCAGATGTTACTACAAACACTAAAATAGCTGAGAATAAATGTAGAGAAAAGAATTCCAATAAAGCCTGTGAAAAACAGAATTATACAATTTCAGTTGTTTTACCATTTTACAACTGAAACTTGAATCATAACAACTCAAAACAACTAAATGCTAAGAATTTGGTCTTTCTCCTTTATGATACAAGAGTATAATTCCATAAATAAATTGCTCTTGGTTATTCTCAAATGCTTCATCAATATTGTGCTTGGAGTTGTTTTTTGCTGGGTTGCTTTTTATTTAATAATTGTGAGCCTTGGTACAGAGCTTGTGTTCATAAAACAGGGGAAAAGATTTATTGTTCCTAATTATGAAATCTGCAAAGCCCATAACAGTTAAAACTTGAAACCTACAAACCAGCACAAAATCAAAACCCAGCAACCAAGCTAGTTTACTGATATTTTTACCTATAACTCCATGAATGCAAATCGAACTTCTGTGCCATGAAAAATTACCTTGGAAATTATTCTGTCTGGCTTCTCTGATTTATCATATAATCAAATTCTTGCAGGTTGTTTTTCTAGCCTTTCAGGTAAATCACAGGCACACAAACTCCATGTGCTAAGATAAAGCAGATTTAGGAAAAACCATAATACAGCCTGTAATTTACTGAGCCTTGCTCATATATGTGCTGAATATGCTTTTCATTACAGGCAGGTAAATAAAAATCAGTGCTTGAATTTCAGCTTGTATTTGCTTAACCCACAAATTACTGTTCAAAAGAACTAATTGTGTTGCACCACAGCCCCCTCTTCAATCTCTAAAATAAAAAAACTTACATAATAACTGTTCTCCTCGATATCTGAGCTTGTTCCCAATGTGAGTTCCACAACCTGTAAGATCAGGCCCTAAATTATAAGTTAAATACTACAGTGATGTCACTTAAAATATTACCTTTCTTTTGGTTCATTTGTAACACTCAGAGAATTCCAAAATGTACGTATTTCCCTGCAAGAGGAATCGGCATCCTTGTGCTACAGCTGTGAATGTTTTCTTTCTTTATTTACTCCCTGTAACCAAAGGCTTTATTGCGATTTTGGCCTAAAACGCTGGTGAAAATGTCAGTTATATAAGGCCACGCGTGGAGGCCACACGCACTCCGAAAAATATTGCTGCTTGAATTAGTCACGGAAAAAATCGTGGATGTCTGCTCTGACATATGGATTTACATGGAATAACGTGTTTGCACCCCCCCTCCCAAAACGCCTCTCCCACCGTCCCTCCTCGGCCGAAGCCAGGCAGGAGCAGCCATTCGAGATTCCACAGCCACCAGATCAGCCTAAAAACAACAAGGAATTAAAAACCGCAGGGAGCAACAAGGCCGGCGGTTTTCATTCGGCTCCACTGACGCACCCCCGGCCCTGGGCCCAGGTCTCCTCTTCCCTGGACTCATCCTCCCCCTTCCAAAGCGGGATCGCGGGGCCCCGGGATCAGCCTCCTTCTTCCCAAGGAGGGATCGCGGCGGCCCCAGGAGGAGCCTCCCCCTTCCCAAGGAGGGATCGTGTGGACCTCGGGCTCAGTTCCCCCTTCCCAAGAACGAATCACGGCGGCCCCGGGCTGTTCCATCTTCCCGAGGAGGGATCGCGGCTCCCCGGCTCAGCTCCCTCTTCCCGAGGAGGGATCGCGGCTCCCCGGCTCAGCTCCCTCTTCCCGAGGAGGGATCGCGGCTCCCCGGGCTCAGCCCCCGCCCCACGCGGGATCGCTGCCCCTGCCCCGTCCCCGCGTGTCCCGCGGCCATTCCCCTTCCCCGCGCCGCCTCTCCCAACTTTTCCAGCCGCCACAACTTCCACGTTCCTCCCGCGGCGCCGCCGGCCGGGCCGGGCCGGGCCCTCCCCTCCCGTCCCGCTCCCCGGGGAAGGTCACGGCGGTGCGGGCGCGGCGCGGGCCCCGCGGTGGCGGCGGCGCGGCGGGCGCGGTCCGTACCTCTGCGGGCCTTCGGGGAGTGCCGGCGGCTGCGGGCGCTCGCTCGCTCCTCCTCGATCGCGGCCGCTATGGCCGGGTCGTCCTCGCCATTGTACCACACCAACAGCTCCTCGCCCGCCGCGATTGGCTGCGGGGACACAACACACGGAGCGGGGCCAGTGAGCGAGCGCGTTGTTGGCGGGGCGGGGAGCGGGGCCGGGAGCGGGGCGGAGGCGGCGGGGCGGGAGCGGGAGCGGCCCCGGCGCGGCCCCCGAGGGGCCTCCGCGGAGCCGCCGCCGCCGAGCGCCCCCTGCCGGCCCGGAGGGTGCGCGGCTGAGGGGACACCGAACCCGCCCCCCGCGAGTAATTAATGGAGCAATTACTGACACCCCAAACCCCGCCCCCGGGAATTAATTAATGAATTAATCAATTATAGACACACCAAACCCCGCCCCCGGGAATTAATTAATGAATTAATCAATTATAGGCACCCCAAACCCCGCCCCCGGGAATTAATTAATGAATTAATCAATTATAGACACCCCAAACCCCGCCCCCCTGGAATTAATTAATGAATTAATCAATTATAGACACCCCAAACCCCGCCCCCGGGAATTAATTAATTAATCAATTATAGACACCCTAAACCCCACCCCCGGGAATTAATTAATGAATTAATCAATTACAGACACCCCAAAACCCGCCCCCCGGGAATTAATTAATGAATTAATCAATTATAGGCACCCCAAACTCCGCCCCCGGGAATTAATTAATGAATTAATCAATTACTGACACCCCAAACCCCGCCCCCGGGAATTAATTAATGAATTAATCAATTATAGACACCCCAAACCCCATCCCCGGGAATAAATTAATTAACCAATTACATGCAGCAACCCAAACCCAGTCCCCCAGGAATTAATTAATGGATCAATTACAGACACCCCAAACCTCGCCCCCCCTGGGAATTAATTAATAGAACAATCACAGACAACAACCCAAACCCTGCCCCTATAATTAATTAATAATCAATCACAGAATACCCCAAACCCCACCCCTGTAATTAATTAATGAATTAATCAATTATAGACACCCCAAACCCCACCTCCCATAATTAATGAATTAATCAATCACAGACACCCCCAACCCTGCTCCAGGGAATGAATGAAATCACAGAAAAACACACAGAAAACACATACAAAAGTCACTCCCTTCCAAAATGCACCACCAAATAAAAAAAAAAAAAGAAAAATCAACAAAAATCAACAAAAAAAAATATCCCCCCCCAAAAAAATCACAGAAATCAATTTGTACCCACTATTCCTTGTCCTAATGCTACAGTTCCTGACAATATATAGTTAATGTTAATATAGTTATAGTTAACATTAATACAGTTAAATAGTTAATTATTAATACAGTTCCTGCATTATTATTATTATTATTATTATTATTATTATTATTATTATTATTATTATTAGCATGTTCCAGCTCCAACATCCCAAACTGTGGTTTGCCTTAATTAGTGACACTGATTTAAATCCCTGCAAACAGTGACATCCCTGAGCTCACTTCTATGGATATTCACAGTTAATTCTTCCCAGGGAGCAACCAGCCAAACACAACTACCTTACACAAAGCATTAAATAACATTAATTAAATCTAATATAATAATAAGTAACACTGCTCAGGCAGCCACTACAGCTGGGATTTGGAACAAAATCTACAGGAAAAGACTGTCACAGTGGGTTAATGGCAATATAGATAATTACAGCATGTTTAACAAATCCACTTCATCACAGTAATGAAAGGTTTGATTGCCATTCCAAATTGACTATTTCTAGTTTTTTTTAATCCAATTAAAAAAAAAAAAATCACAGGAAAGACCAATGCCAAATAGGCATCACTGCAAATGCTACTCACACTCCCAACACTGCCAATAAAAGAAACTGGTATTGATCAGCTTACTTCACATGCTCCTTAAAATATTATCAGACTCAAATTACTAAGTCTCCAAGTTTGCAGACTAAAGCTGTATTTGTACTTATTTTTTAAATCTTCCTCATTGTTCCTCCATTTCCTGAAGCATTCTACCCAAAACCAAGAAAAATTTAAATACCTTAACTACAATCCCCCCTCTTTCAGGGCTTAATGACCATGGGGCTGGTGGAGATCAGATCCTGTTTTTAGTCATTCCAACAGAGCAAAGGGTGTCCTTAGACTTAGTTCCAGTCTGAAGCCAAAGGGGATTTTTGTATCAAGAACAACAGTATTGTTTCTTTCCTCTACAGTACTTTTTTTTTTTAGTGAGTCCCACAGCACTCGATAAAGGTGAGAGTTACCTTCATACCCCCAGACACCAGAACAACAAGAGATGCAAGATTCCAGCTGGGCAAAGTTTTTAAGTTCTAACATAAGCAAAGCCCAAGGTTTGCTTTCCCTCAGTCCCAGAGGCCTGAGAGGAGAAACAGAGGCAAAGCTCTTTGCATGGGCCCATTTCGCAGCTGTTGAGCAGCAAGGAATGCAGAAGAGTTGTCTGATGATGCCAAAAAAACCCCTTATCATCTAAAAAATATAAAAGCTTGGAGAAAAGAGCTGGCTGAGGTTTTAGGCAATGCAAACACGGGATGATAACGGGCACAGAATTTGTTGGCTGCGTGGCTGGATTATTCAACTTGATGAATTTAGTGTCATGGTGACTGCTCTAGAATCTAATTGAAGCCCTCTAACCTTGAGCTTCTAAAATGAGGTGGAGCAGCAGCTCCAAGACCAGGCAATTAAAAACTGCTCCCCCACTGGAAACTGGAGCGAGCAAAGGACCACGCTGAGCAAGTGCCACTTCATCACTACTGTTCCTGACAGCACCCTCTAATAACAACTCCAACCCCAACCTCCCCCAAACTATTCCCTCCAGACCCTTGGTGTGGCAGTGTCAGGTGGGGACAGCTTGGCTCAACAGGGTATCAGTGTTGGAAAGGCTCCTCAGGTTAATGCTTTTTTGAGCTTTGTGTTTTAACTACAACGTTTAACAGTCCTTAATCTGAGTACTTTCTGTTCAGAAGGTTTAAAGTAATTTCAAAATCTGTTATTTTTGAGAGCAGTATCCTAATAAATTATATCCTGAGAAGTTCTAGCCCAGATTGTCTAAAATTGAGTTCCTTGTACAAGCACTGCAATGTGTGTTGTACAGACAGTCAGGCATTGCCTGTCTGTGTGAAAAATTTATTTTTCACACAGACACTGTATTTTACCGTGATATTGTGCTTCTGCACCTGGATGTGGCCTCACATCCCCAAAAGCAATCAAAGTGACATTTAGTTGGGTGAAACTTTCACAAGGTATAACCCAAGGTTATATTGTGTTCTCCTGTGTAACAGGGAGGATCCTGAGTTATTAGAAACCCGTCTGACAAAACATTCTTCCACAAGCAAATTAATTTCACTTTAATCAAGGACAGTTTCACAGCCAGGCTTCTTTAGAAGACTTTTTGAAACTCTGTTTTCACTGCAATTTTACTTCTTGTGGAATGAAAGCCCTGCCCTGAGTGCAGAACAACACTGATCAACGAGCTCCTTTCATGAGCAGAGGCAGGAAGAGCTTCTGAAACCCCATAATGAGTTTAAGCTGCTTCACTGAAATATCCCAGCTCTCATATGCATCCTGGGGAAAGCAGATGCAAAGCAGCCTACAAATAACCTCAGCCCTTCAGTGAAGATGAAGGGAAGATGGAAGAGAAAAATATTTGCTTGTGCTCACTTAAAAGTTCTATAACTATTCATTGGCAGCAGAGAACAGGGAAGTTAAAGCTCTGTGCAGGTTTGATGTTCTTCTCCACCAAGCAAATTTGGACTTTGCTTATCTTAGCAATGAGGCTTGGAAAGCTTGGAAATCAGCCTGTTTAACTTACAGATGAGAAACCCACAAAAAGCTCAAGAAAACCCTGGGAAAAAAATAGCCATGACAATATTTTAAATGCTTCAAGGTAAAGAAGAACAAAATTACACACAAGCCACTTGAATTCTCCTTTGGGGGTAAATAAAACCTGTGTTGTTTATTTATCAGCAAGTGGAATTCCCCTAAATTTATGAATTATGATAAAGATCAGGAAGAACCATGTGTTCATACCTGGGCTGGTAAATTTACAGCAGGTTTGAAATTAGACCATAACACGTTATACACAGAAAAAGGAGGACATTTAAGATGGTTTTTATTACATGCCTTCTTTTGTCTCAGTTAACAGTAAGGT